GCATACCTGCAATTATCTGCAAATTTTTTCTAACGACAGATTTCCAATGTAAGTTATACAAAGCATTTAACTAACAAAATAAATTAGAAGTGAAAAGTGAGTAAATCAACTTCATCCTCTTCCCCTAAATCAAATAACTAACTTCGACTCTTTTAAAACAACATTTACTGAACAATGCCACCTTATACTTCTGCTTGGAGCACTACTTGGAAAAGAGACTCCTTTAAAACATTAGCAATATGCAATATTCAAAATTTAGTTTTTGATGATGCCTTTTTGCCTTGTCAGCTATTACAGCCTACAGCAAATGGATGCAGCTTGAACAGATGCAATGCAAGTGTCCTAAAGACTCTTTAATCCTCGCAGAAGGGCTGTATTTACAGATTCGTGACCCTTATTGCCAGGGAGAAGGACCTGACCAGGAAAGCTGCTTTTAAAAGGATAATCAAGTGAATTAAGAATTAGTTGGTACCCTCTTGAATGAAAGCACACACAAACACACACAGTACAGTACTCTGGAGAGAAAAGGAAGGAAAACAAGTCCTTTGGAACAGAAGGGAAAAAAAAAAAGAACAAAATAGCAAGATATCAAAGAGATAATACACAATGATCTTCCTTAAAAGAGCCTGGGTAAGAAAGCAAGTATGACACAAGATCTTGATGCTTAGGGTTTTGATATTTAATAGAATATTTGTAGAATCACACAATGACTTGCGTTGGAAGAGACCAAAAGACCACCTAGTTCCAGCCCTCACGCCACCACTTTGCAGCAATTAACCAAACATTTTGACTCTACAAAAACATTAGAGAAATAATTTAAAAAAAATCCTCTATCATAAAATCAAATCAAAACAACAAACCAGTCCTTAAACACCACAATGCTTTAGAGCATGAGTAAAAAGATGACAGGGTCAGGAAGCAGCTTTTCCAAGACGTGTGTTAATTCCACACTACCCACTGGTCATCACATGAAGCGAGCAGCACCAGAGAGAAAAGACAGGACTATTTGAATCAATTCAGTTTGGCTTGGTGTTTTTTTTTTTCTCCAACTATTTTCTGACTTAATGGCCTGGGAGCACCTCAGCGACTCCATCGATTAGCTGGAGCAACCCTGTGGCAAATGCAAATCAGTCAGAACAGCTAGCTTTTACAGAAGTTAGCTTCTAAATGAAGTTTCAATTCTATTTAACTAAGGACATGCCCAATATTTATGTGATAATAGCAATACCTTTATGTCTATTCAGTTTTCAGACAAGGCCTAGGGAAAAAGAGTAAGCTTGAAAAATTCTGCAATGTGTCTTTGACCAAACTCATATCCTGCATATTTCCCTTTAAAAGTTAGGCGTAGTGTTGGTAGTACGGAGATTTTACATTATCTCTACGCTAGCACAGAGCCATTTGCTGCATGAAAGATTTAGTCATGAGAGTCACTTGTACCTCCTTTAACATCTATCTACTGTAAATATTCCTACAATCATTATTCCTTCTTGCAGTGGCTTGTAACGTCTCTTGGGGTCTCGACTGCTTCAGAGCAGCCAAAACTTAGCACTGATCTGAAAGCGCTGTGCTGTTTAGCTCTCTGATCTCACGGTGGAAAGGTGGAACAGAAACATACCAAAGCTATGCTACACATTTAATAACGTTCTCTGTTGCTGTACTAAACGATTCTCCTTCCTACAGCAACTTCCTGATACATCCTTCACCTGTCTTGAATCTAAATTTCTGTGTATGACGTAGCAGGTAAGAGAACTCTTCTTTCTCAGAATCACAAAGATTGCACATAGTTTTCCTATACGCCTATTAAAATTCCAATATATTTTGGGATGGAAATCCCTTGTATTAATGCAATCCCATATGGTTGAAAAATGAAGTCATTGTTTTTCCTGAAATATTTGTGCTGTTAATTAGCTTGTTGATTTAAAATGAAACAAACATACAAAAAACCTTAACCTCTATCAGTTTTTCAGAATGCTACCTCTCTGTTGCCATGGTCACAAGTTACCATAGAAACTATTAGACTCATCTGTATTTTTAGATTAAACTTACTTCTACTTTCACAAAATATGGATTAAATCGATGGAAACTACTGATTCTTACCAGGAAATACTACAAAATTCAAGCCACAAATTAGAGTGACACTGCTGAGGCACACATACACAAAGAAATAGTTTAATTGCAGAGGAAACAAAGAGTTGCAATCACTACCATTTACAGAGCTCCTTCATGAGCTAGAAAACAGTCTGAATGGACAATTAAAAGCTCTAAGGACAGTTACTGTCTACTACTGTTGTAGCCATAAGCTTTGCTAGAACATGTTTAAATTAAAAAGCCCAGCAAGTTTGAACAGCCTTTTTAGATAGGAGATAAGTGCAGCATTACTTCATATTTCTCTGCTAATGCCCCTCCCTTTTTTTCTTTTTATTTTTTAAGGTCGATTTTACTTATTTATGCTCTCCCTTTCTAAGCAGGAATTTCACTGACATGATGTTCGACCAGTCACACTCCAGCTATTTCCAGGCAGGTCTTTGCTCCCCCACTCAGTGATTTCATGTTGCATCGTGCCCTCTGCTGGGCAAACACAAATTCACAACCCTGCGAATCAAATGCCTTTAGATCAGCACCGCGCTAATGGGAAACTTCATCACGAAAGCGTCATAGCAGAAACAAGCATTATTATGTAGTCTTTAATTTGTGCACTTCAAGGAAGGTGACCTTCGCCTGGCCAGATTCATCTCAGCTTTTCCATTTTTCTCTCTGGACTCTCATTCAAACAATGCTAGCTTATACATAGCTCAGCATACCTGAAGTTGGATGTGAACTCAGGGTCAAACGTCAAAATAAGTTTCGCCTACCTCTGTGATTCTCACAGAATTGTAGGGGTTGGAAGGGACCTCCAGAGATCATCGAGTCCAACCCCCCAGCATTTGAGAAATAATATGAGCAGGAAAATCAGAAGTGATGAGTCCATCAACTCAGTGATTTCCCCAGGAGGCAGCCCATGAATACAAAATAAGGTTTGAAGATCTGTGTTGTTTAATTTAAGAAAGTCATCTAAAGAAATTCAGCTTGCTTTCTTGTTGATAAGTTTTTTATCTGAAGTAATGCTCAGTGACGTAGTTTCTGTGTAAAAACATTGCCTAAGTTGTAAAATCTGGAACTATGTGAAGCAAGCAATGGCGCAGGTAATCCAACAGCAACAAAATGCACACAACTGCTGATTTCTCAATTTATTAACGGAATCCTGCTACTCCTTAACATTTTCTTGATCGCAAACTAACTTAATTTTCTATTTTAAATCCTTGTTGCATATTTTTGTCATAGTTCTTCAAGGTAATCTGCTGCAGTTCTCTCAGTTGTATCTTCACACAACTGCTTTCCTGACTTTGTAATTTTCCAGCAGAATCTTTTCTTTCTCTACTTTACATCTCCATTGACATAGAATGACTAGCAGTAACTCAAGATTGCAACTAATGCTAAGGAGAGCATTCTGGGTGCTGACCTGCATACTGAGCAGAAGTTTGCCTTACAACATTTTGTGCAGCACTGTTTACACTGCTCCTGAAAGCTCTAAGAGTCAGTTGGAATACTTAGTGAGAGTAAATAATGAAAAACATTTCCTCAAATGAATTCTCTCCAACCCCTTTTTGGCAAGGTTCCTCTGATATTCCATACAATTTTCTCTGGCTTTGACTTTTTTCTCCTCTGCTTGCACTGGGAATTAATTTTTGAAAATTTAGAGTCAAAACTACCCGTACTCCAGTGGAAAATGTTCTCTGATATTCACAGAATTACAGTCTATCACGAGTTGGGTGGGACCCACAAGGACCATCAAGTATATAAGTCCTGGCTCCATACAGGACCACCCAAACCAACCAACCAACCGCATTACATCTGAGTGTTGTCCCAGTACTTCTTGATCTCTAGCAGCTTGGGGCCATGGTTACTAACTACCCTGGGGAGCCTGTTCCATGCCCACCACCCTTTGATGCACAACTCTTCCCAAATATCCAGACTGACTCTCTCCTGACAAAGCTCAGCTTTGTTCCCTTGAGTCCTGTCCCTGCCACCATAGCTCAGAGCTCAGCACTGCCCCTCCGCTCCATATGAAGAATCATAGGCCACCAGGAGGCCTCCCCTCATCCTCCCTTGCTCTGGGCTGAGCAAACAAAATCTCCTTGTCCGCTCCTTAGACACCTTGCCCTCTAGACCCTATATTATGGTCCAGAGTACAGTTGGCCATTTTGTCTGCCAGGCCATGCTGCTGACACATGTTCAACTTGCTGTCAACCAGAACCCTCAGATCCCTTAAGACAGGCAGTCAGGTGCACATGCAGAAGTGATAAGCTGTGTAAAAAGGTGATAATCAGCAAAATATTGAATGAAGATGGTAAAACATTGTTGGATACTTTGAACATCCCTTCTATTTGAAGAAATTTATCTTACAGAGGCTATCATACTGGCTTTCATTCACACACAAAAGCTAATAATTTGTTAGGGAGTAACCATTTTGTTCTTACAGTCCCTGACACAGTTTTCTCTCTAGAAAACCACAACATAGAATTAAGATATTCATACTTTAATTCTAACTTACCTTTCGTGAAATGTGCCAGCTGGTTAGTAGAAATGCTTCAGTGCTCATTTATGCATTTCTGATGTCCGTTGTCATGAATATAGATACCACAGTTCTGATACATTGTGAGTCAAAAATCTTCATTACCTCTTGCAAATTATAAGCAAACAAGATAAGCTATACACAAGTGCTTCTTACTCTCAATTTCAGAATATTTTTCAGTGCATTTTAAACACATAACCGTCTGCGTGCCAATGAGGCATTTCCATCAAAGCTTCAAGAGAAATATCTCCCACCCTCAACAGTGTAAGCATGCTTGAGGCCCATCTCCTGTATGACAGAACAACACTTTGTCCAAACTCTGGATAATAACCAGAAAACTTATTGTCTCCTACTGTTACCAAAGCAAAGAAAACTATAGGAAGTTCGGTTGTTTTTTTTTTTCTTTGCTTGTTTTTTTTTTCCTCATTTGTCTGAATGGGTGGAGAGAATAAAAGCAAAAAAAGAAAGTTTCTTTAAACATGTTGTAATTGTCCACTGTTTAAATACACAGACTATAGACACCTATACAAAGTTTATTTGCATGGATGAGCTAGGCTAATCTTCCTTGTCAAGAAACAGCCAGTTAAATTTTGCTGCAAGTCAACTACTGTGTATCGATACTCACTTATGCATACCCAAGCTGCTATTCCTACAATACTGCTATGAAACGTCCTCTGGCAGTACTGCCTACATTTGTTTGCCATTTAGCAGAACTCTCCCTTTCCGACCTGCTGCAAAGACTATGACTAAATTTCTTATCTTTGATTAGTCAGTTTAGCACTGCATTTCAGCTGCAGCAGCAAACATTTCAGATACAGCTCAGAAAGCTGCCCATTATATGAAACTCTGCCTATCGGCCACCAAAAGTACATTCAATTTCGCATCTTCTCACAAATGTTACTTCTAGGTTGTCAGAGCTGAGAAACAGAGCAAGAAAATAATGACTTGCCTGTTATATGGTCATAGAAAAAGTTCAGGAAAAGCAGCAGCTACAACCTAATTACCAGGAAAAACAAAACAAAATAAAAAGCATGCTTATCACTGTTTCTTTTCACTTCATGTTATTGTGATTCCAGTTTTTCTTTACAAACAAAACATTGACAATTATGACATGGAATTTTTGGGATTCTACAGATAGCTGGTACATGACTGTAGCAAAATCCAGCATTTAGCTAAAAAGGTGCATAACACAGGCTTTGTTTGCACATTCAATTTCCCAGATTAACCCATCCCCTGGAGCTCCTTGCTACTGTTTTCCCAGTAAGTCTACTACAGAGTGCTTGATATTTATCAGGTACTTTCCACAATCTGACTGACCACTGAGGAAAAATTCAAACTCTATGGTTCTGAGGTGATGAAAGGCTCAAGAATCTAAATACACATAGGTCAAGCCCAGCTTAGAAAGGTGGATGGTTTCTGTAAGAGAGAAACCAGATTCCAGTCTGTAGAATACAGAGCTGAAGTAAGGTCAGAGGTTCAGAAAACAGTTGTCACTATTTCCTAGACAAATCTGTACTGCACATAACACATTTTCCACCCTACCCTACCTCACAAGACAGGTTCTTTGCTGCTGTGAAAGCTCATGGTCTTCATTTACCTTCAAACTATTTGTTCCCACAAGTTACTCTGCACACTCCTTAAGATCTCTTCTCATTTGAAGCCATTAGGCTTCATAGCAGCACCTTAGAAACAACATAAAACCGAGCTGTTTACAGCATCTTGTAATAGTGCCAAATTCCAGATGAAAGGTGACTGTTCTCCGATCCTTTCTCCTTGGTAACTCTAAAGTACATTCCCATGCTTCATGCGCATTTATGCATATACAAAAACATTAAATTCAACCATTAATAAAACATTAAATTCAGTAGGCTCCAGACCACGTATAGCACAGGAACTCTTGGGCAACCAGCTCTAAGTAGCCCTGCTTGAGCAGGCCTGTCAGACCAGACAACTTGCAGAGATCCCCATCTGAATTCAACTCTTCTCTGAACTCACACAGCCTCACAGAATATTTTGCAGGTTTTCCATGTGTGTTCACAGGGCAACTCAAAGAGCAGCACAAGATGTGTCAGCCTGGTGGTTCCCAAAAGGAATCTAAGAACATCTCTAAAACTGAACAATTACATAAAGGAATGTCATTCAGCATCTCCCTGGCAAACAGCAGAGTAATATGTCAGTGCAGTGTCTTCATCAGAAAGAAGGATAAGAATTTTCTCCCTCTTTCCAGATTTCTCTCTTAGGCAATAACCCATACTTTCTAGAATTGCATGCAAGTTTGGAAGACAGAAAGAAAAACTCAGAACAGCTCAACAGTTGCTCTGAGGCTCATGGACACTACATAGTCAGCACATAAGCCGCCTTCATACAATGTTCTGTTCTGCCAGAGAACTAGCAGCATGTTCCATGACCACCCCAGTGTCCTCCTAAGGCACACATTTCCTGCCTATCAAGACGGCAATAGAGAAATAAGATTCAAAAGTACCAATTTCTGGAAATCCAGGGTTCTCTAGAAATCTCTGCATTCCTTTCTGTGTCCCAGAGGAAATTATGTTATGAGGAAAGAGGTACAAATGCTTACTGTACTCAGTGGGTTCTACTGCTAGTTACAGATTAAACCATTTGCTTAATTGCACAATCAAGCTCACAGAAGATACTGAATAGAAACTACATTCCAGCATTTCCTGTTGGAAACATTGAACAACAGCTGTTAAAGCATTTTATCAAAACAGCACATTCAGCACTCTCATTAGCAAGAGAATTTCTATGCAAGACCATGTCATCCAATGCAGAACTATATCTAGGAATTCACTAAGGGTGGTGGCAGATCTGCAGAGGCTTTGATCAAGCAGAGCGAATTCTAGCAGTCACATCTGTACTGGAAGAAGAAAACAAGGTCCATTCTAAGACATTATCTTGCTCTGGGCCAAGTTCTGCTGCCTAACATCATCAGCTCTGTATCTCACACACTCCACATAGCCTGTAACTACTCCAGATTCTTAATTTTAAAAAGATATGATTTAATCTCCCTATACAAGAAGTCAGATCGATTGAGCCATACTTACCCAAAGGCTATGATATCAAGCATCAATGTTAAGTAAAAGATACTTAGTAAAGCATCTCGTTCAGGAGGACAAAAGCAAATCCAAACACCAAAATCGAATCTTCAGAAATTCTTCTTGCAATTAAAAGCAGGACAAGTTACTGCAGATGAACAGAATCTAGAAAGCATTCTGGAAAGTCACTGTATGAAAACCTAATAATCAGAGACTATCAAAGCATGCACAAGAAGGCAGAAAGATCAGCATAAGGACAGAGTAATTAATCCCTTGCCTCCAAATCAACTCCCTCACAATGATTTAGATAAATAATTTGCCATGGAGATTTTTTGTTGGAAAAGAAGAATATAGAAATATGATTATAGAGGTATTTTGAGTATAGAGAATAATAGTTTCTTGCGTCCTAGAGTTTCTTGTACTGAACAATTCCTCACAACTTAATCTTCCTCATATTCAATAAGGAGAGGAATTTCCACTGGGAACAGAAAGAATTCTTGCTGCAGTACTTGCCATTCCATGTACTAGTGAGGCACGTATACAATGCTTTCTAGCAGAAGAAAAAATGAACACTTTCTACTTCCCCTTCCACCCTTTGCCTCCCCACCTCAAATCCCAAAGTAAAATCAAAGATTTTCTACTGGATCCTGGGTAAGAATTTGTGCATGCTTTAGGACAAGTACTAATGACAAGATGCAAGTTTTTAACACAGTCAGTCAAGGTTTAAAATTTTAAAAGCGACAAAGAAAAGTAAAAGCAACTTAATTGTTTTCCCCAAACATTGGGTAATTCATAACAATTTGACACCAAGACAGTATGAAATAAAAAATTCAGCCTCAATCTTCAACTTTACAAACTTCCGAAGGGCTCTTCCTTAGGACAGAAATATTTGTGGAATCTTACAGCAGGGCTTCCATACATCGTCAATAACAAAATGCTGAGTCTCTGTAATTTGAATGAATCTACTGTAATTTGAGAAATATACAGCACGAAACACAGGCAAACATGAATGTCTGCATCATGAGCTCTCTGTGATGGTGCTCCCCCATTACAGAACTCAACAACAGGAGAGCTATGCATTTCTGTTCATCTTTTCTCCGCAGTTTCATTCTCACAACATATATTCTACATGCAACGTAATTCTGTTCTAAGCATTGGATGCTGCTCAGGTCTCAGAACATTGATAAGCATGGCTAATGGTCCAAAAAGAAAATTTGTGCAAGAGCTGGAGTAGGATAAAGCAGGATGACTGATAAAGCAGAATAGTGAGCCCTAGTCACCCCACCCCTCTTTTATCCTCCATAAATCGAATTCTGCAATAAGACAAGGTTGTACATCAGCTATTTGTCTGTTCTTGTACTCTGAGAATAGATCTCCTGAAGCTGAAAGACAAGGGCTTCTGGAGCTCTCTAGTATGTCTGCAGACTACAGCGAGTCAGATTTTCCCCAGAAAATCTGCTAGAAAGTAAGAATTAGTCTGTAGAAAAGCATCACTGTAACACGGAATTCAACAACTGGCAAACTGACTGCTTTTCCCACTGCACAGAAATGCTCTCACTCTGATTTTATAGGAATCAAAGTGAACAACAGAAATAAAACTCAAGTAGCTTTTTTCTTTTTTTTTTTTTTTTAAAAAAAAAAAGAAATTGCCAAAATCTTATGAATGATCACCTTTCCTTCTCAACAGCCACCTCCCGTGGATATCTGTATCTACTCCTTCATGTATGCAGATAACAGCACATTTTCTTCATAACTAACCTTACTAATTTCATCACTAACCTTTTAGAAAAATAAAAACAAGCTCATCTTCCAGTACTAAAATCCATAATCTGGTTTACTCCTCCCATGAGTGAGTCCTTTACATTCAAAAGCACTCAGCATACACCATTTTAGTCACTTCTGGAAGGGGATGGACATGACAGTTGTGGTCCGTTCCTAAGACAGATGAATCGTTGTGGGCACTTCTTAACACAGCTGCAGAAGGATACCCAGAGCAAAATAAGACAATGTGGGGAGCCACCCAACCCCGAGGAACTCCACTGTCTGATTATTTTTCCAGCATCAGTGCAACACGTATCTCTAACCCTGGTCAGTTCTCCTCATCAAGATTCTCTCCAGTTAGGGTTACACGGAAGGAATTTCAAAGCAACAGGTTATGTACAGACACATTAGCACTTTCTCCAAGAGGGGGATGAAAAGGAGAAATTTCCTGAGGATGTGCATCCTCTATTCCACGTTCTGAATCCCAGCTTCCCCCCTTGACCTTAGAACGAGCTCTACAAAGCAGTATCTGTTATGTACATTAATCTCAGCTCCCTTCCTTAGGAGAGTTTCCACTCAAAAGCTACAGGCAAATCCTGGGACAGAGATGGGTGTTGTGGAGGGGAGGGCTCCTTAGGATGACTCCCCAGAAGTAAGAGAACCTGCAGCTTTCTTCTTAGGGCGGGCTTTCACACTTTTTACAGGCAGCTGAGGAGAAAGAAAGAGGTATCTTAATTTACTGCAACACCGAGATGTCTAACAGAAAGAGACAAAGATGCAAAGAGAAAGTAGGACAAAAAAGCTACAGCACAGTGACCCTATTCACATCATCTATTGTTTCAAAAACACTATTTAAATATTTATGTTGTTGCTAATCAGCTTACTCTCAGCATATCCTTCAGAAAACAATAAGGAAAGGAAGACATCATGAAACAGGAAATGCAATAGCAAATTGAAGTAAGTTGTCTTGGCAAAACCTTAGACATCACAAAAGTTCTAAGCAGTAACACCGACACAGCATTTTCACTGCATTAACTTTTCTGCTTTCTGATGACCATTCCTAATAGCCCAAATCGTAGAAACATCTTGAATTAGTAATTCAAACTAAATAAGCCACGTATGAAAAACAATATGCTTACAAAGGGCTTTACTAGAGTTTCTGTATTCACAATGAATGGCAGAGAGTCATTACAGCCTTTTCACAACTTCTGAGTCACTTCAACAATTTCCCACTAGAAAACATTTCTCCTTATGTTTCCCTGCCCACTTCCACTGTACTATGGAAGGAAGTAGAAGGGTCAACATAGGAGTAAGCCTTGGAGATTTAAGAAAGACCTATTTTGAACACTCTAAAAATATCTACTGCCTAAATATGAAAGCAAACCTAGGTCCTGGCTTATGTAATAAAAATACAAAAACTATAAAAGATGACAGCAAGCAGATGGCAAGTCCTCTGATGTAGGACTCTAGCAGCAAACTCTCCAACAACGCTTATAAAAACCAGCTATTAAACACACAGACTATGAAGCCAGAGCCTTCTGACAAAACCTCAGGAATCAACGTCTGTGTTGGAAACAATTTATACACCTGCTCACCTCAGATTTTGTCATCTTCCTAGGAGCTTTGAGGCTCTGCGAACGTTTTGGCAGTTTGTCTCCTGCATCTTCATCTGATGGGTCTGTTCTAATCTCTGATGGGGTTCCATTAGGTCTCTGTACCACGCCACTCTCCTCTCCTGAGGAGTAACAGGAAGCTAAGAGATGAGAAAAAGGTTTTTTTCAAATGTTTTTGAAAAGTCATATTCAGATGTGATTTTTAGACTTTACGTGCTGACATCTAATCTAAACTGTCCCATCCTTAAGGACCACATGGAAGAGAGATGTCAAAATTCCTTCAGGAGGACAATCCAGGTACAAGGATTTATTAGTAGTTTGGAAGGAACAAGGAAAAAGAACAGTTTCTCCCAGATAATTTGCAAACTTGTAGTCTTTCAGAGACCTGGTGCATGAAGTCCATTGCTGGCTTACCAAGTGAGGCCTCACACAGTGGCCCAGCAGGGATTTTCTGTACCTGAATCCTCAATAGTTTCAAGGAGGCTTCCTCCAGAGGGGCGAAGCTGTGACTCATGGCTTTGCAAATGCGCAGCATCTTCGTCGCGGATCAGAGTGAGATCCTGCATGCTGAAACTTCGTAACTTCTCAGACAAAACTCCTTGGCCCTAAGCACATAAAAACTGGGGTCAAAGACACTTCACCAAAATCATCTCATTCAGAAAAAGGAAGGTGCCACATTCCCCACTACAATACTATAAGACAAGTACAAAGAAACCAACATCACCAGAAGAAGAAGGAAAAAAGTATGCTCCCAAGACCAGGGGAAGAGGTTAGAGCAAAATCCGTTCCACTCTACCTCTGCTCGTCATAAATCAAAGGACGAGATTTACTGCAAGGCAAACTGGTGTTAAGGTTAAACAGACAACAAGTACTAGCACCCCTAACTAACACAACTAATGCCTGGTATACACAGCTAAAGTACTGCCGAATTCCAGAGGGTCACAGAAGGTTAAACCACGTTTGTAGTGCAGGTGTTGCATTACCTTTGCAGCTGCAGTAACTGCTGCATTTGCAGCCAGATTTAATCCTCTTTTGCCAACTCGCATCATGGTTTCATAGCTTTTGTCACGAGCCTGAGTAATGTATTCATCAATTTCCTAAGAAAACAACATGCACCACAGCATTTAGCTACCAATGAAAAATAAACAAACCAACAAATGCAAACACTTGATCAGTCTTCCCCGTCATCATCTTTAAAACTCACCGCTCATCAGGGCATCTTTTTTTTCTTTCAGTCTGCCAGACTAATCTGCCATAGATCAAATAATTGTATTTTTTCTTCTACTTACAGAAAGCTTACAAATGCAACTGTAACTTAAGGAATGCAATCTCCAAATTATCACATTTGAAACAAAGCAATTGCTTACAGTGAGAATCTGAAAAAACAGCCTGGCTACAGAACATATGGCTACTAACATGATTGAAAAAAATGTAACTACTGATAGTAGCCGTAAGGGCTAAAGATGCTGGGACAGCCAAACACACTTTCTAAGCATTAGGCAAAATACTGGTTACATTATATTCTTCAGTAGGCTGCAGAATGACATAACTGTCAGAGGCAACCATTCTATGCCTACACACATCAGCAGAAGCTCAAATTATGCATCTGAATTTTCATTAAGATTCACAGCTGAACGAAAATTGAATCAACTTCCAGGCAGGTCAGTATGTTCCAACACGTGAGTACCTTCTCCTTATTGGAGAGCGTTGGGTGCACAAACTTCCTGTAGAGGACACTGGAGCCCTTGGTGTAAGGGGAGAGCAGCCAAATCACAAATGCGATTTTCAACTCGAAATAAAAGGGAAACCTGAGAGAAAGAGAGAAGGGAAAAAAAAAAAAAAAGAAAAAAAAAGAAAAGAAAATAGGGAGAAAGATGGAAAACTGGAATCAAGATCATCACAGAGACAGATGGAGATAATTGGTAGACAGCAGCACAGGCAGAATGAGTAAAGAGAAAGTAAGGACTCAAACATAAAAGAATAATAATAATCAATATAACAGGTCAGAATAGCAGAATCCTCTCTGGAATCCTTGGACGCACCTTCCTGGAATTTCATTCAGTCTGGCATGCATAGCCACAAAAGCTCCATGAACTGGGCACCTCTCGCCCTGCAAACACGCTGATCTCATCGCCACTCACCATTCTTTAGTTTGTTCAAAGACTATCTGCTGAATGCTACTATTGCAGCAGCTTCGTTTATTGGAGTTTTCAATTAAGTATCTCTAGAGCTCTCTAGTTGTTACTAACGCTGGTGGCTAAGAACAGGCAGCATGAGCCTTTCATCACTACTTCTTACTCAGTAAAGTCTCTGGGAAGATACAACAGTGGAGATTCAAATAAGCGAACACAAAATTCCCTGTCTCTGCTGGTATTAAGAGACTTCTGTTTTCAGCGGTTCACTTCTAAGGCGAAGCTCTTGTATTTTTCAGATCTTTGCTTTCCCAAATTTTATGCAGGAAGGGGCAAAACAGTGGAGCATATGTAAAGCATGTGTAGCCACTTCTTATTTCTTTAAAAGACATAACTCTGACTGGTTTGTAATCTTCCAGATGCATGCAAGACACGGACACTAAAGCAATTAAGAAAATGATATTTTGTTGTCACTGTTGAATGCCTCTGTTTCAATACTGCCACGCATGACACACAGTACTGAGGGACGAAAAGCTGCCTCACTCCACCCCTGGTAGTGGAAGACGTTTTCATCATGCAAAATCATCATCTCAGAGCAAAGGCATGCATCCAATCTGCTCCTCCACACAACAGGCTTGCAAAGCAAAACAGGTCCTTTCCTTCTACCATCCTCCCCCCCAACCTTTTTTTTTTTTTTTTTTGTGCCTCTAACTTTATCACTTCATGGAACAGTATCTCAAAAACGTTTCATGTTATGAATGGATGAAACCCTCTTAAAGAGGCTGTGTCTATCCTAGCTGTCTGAAATTAGATTAAACAGTTAAGACAGCAGCTGAGACACAATGTTTACAACCCCGCATACTTTATGGACATTGAAAACTCCTGCACAAGAGAGAAAGCTTATTCTTAGTACTACCTTAAAAAAAAAAAAAAAAAAACAACTAAAAATAATAACAAAAACAAAAAAAACCAAAAACAACCCACCACACGCTACCAAAGTACTCACCAAGAAAGAACAATGTCTGTGAGTGTTTCTGCAGTGGTGAAAAAGGCAAAAACAATCCAGTACATCATCCACTTTACCTGCAAAAGAGCAATCACTCACATCAGAAAAGAGAAAAATAGCAAAATGTCCTCTCATTAGAGATGACTCATCACTTCCACACACTAAGAAGTCAGCAGAAACAAAAACCAATACATATATAATCGGCAGTATAGCTGCCAAATGTTACATTTAGTACAGAAAACTATGTAATATTAATGTTCACTAAACACATCAATATTATGTAAACAGTAACATAAAATATCAGTAGATATATAACATATAATAATGGTGGATGGCATCACTCAAGGGTTTGCATAAGGAATGGAACTATTTAACATCATTATCAGTGACATAGAGAGTAGCATTGAATGCACATACAGCAAGTTTGCAGAGGACGCCAAGCTGTGTGGTGCAGTCAACACGCCGCAGGGAAGGGATGCCGTCCAGAGGGACCTGGATGGCCCTGAGAGCTGGGGCCTTGCAAATGCCACAAAGTTCAACAAGGCCAAGCAGGAGGTCCTGCGTCTGGGCCAGGGCAATCACAAACATGAGTACAGGCTGGGCAGTGAGTGGATGGAGAGCAGCACTGCGGAGGATTCGGGGGTACTGAATGGAAAGCTGATGTTGATGAAGCTGGACTTGCAGCCCAGAAGGCCAATTGTATCCTGAGCTGTGTCAAAGGATGCATGTACAGTAGGCTGAGGAAGGTGGTTCTCCCCTTCTGCACTCTCATGGGAGCCCACCTACACACTGCATTCGGATCCCGGGTCCCCAGCATAAGAGAGACAAATTTGTTTGAGCAGGCTCAGAGAGTGGCCACAAAGATGATCAGAAGGCTGGAGCCCTCTGATCTGTGAAAACAGGCTGAGACCTAACAGTGGCCTTCCAGTATTTACAGGGGGCCTACAGGAAAGACTGGGAAAGACTCTTTATTGGAGTGCAGTGGTAATGACATAAGGTCACAGTTTTAAGCTGAGAGAGGGTAGGTTGAGATTAGCAGTTAGGAAGACATTCTTTGTGTTGAGGGCTGTGAGGCACTGGACGTGTTGCCCACACCTGTGGATGCTGCATACCTGAAAATGCTCAAGGCTGGCTGGGTCTTTAGGCAACCTGATCTCGTAGTACATGTCCTTGCCCATGGCAGGGGGATTGGAACAATGCAATCTTTAAGGTCATTTTATGAGTCAATGATTACATTTGTTCAGAAAGGGTCAAAGTTAATTTGCAGATGACACCCAAAATATCAGACTTACTCTGCTGCTAGAAAGAGACAAATTATTTACTTATCCCCAAGCTACACTATCCCTACCTCTCGCTACACTGCTTCCCTATAGGGGCTACAGAGTCACTACAATGTTTCCAACAAGCTTATATAAACATTAAAATATAGTACTGTTGGAGATAAAAGGTAAGGACTCTTGAGGATTAACAGTTGGTTCAAAGACACAAAAGAAAAGACAAAAATGGAAGGAAAAAAGACAAAAGAAAGGATAAAAATTTCATTTTCAGAAAGAAAACAATATCAGAAAGAGGTAAGTACCATGGTTACATAAGTTAGCTCTTGACACCCAGAAATAATCACAGTAGACTATAAAGCTAAGCTCTGTCTTACCAGACCTTTGTAGTAGTAATGCAATGGTCAGGAGAACTGAGTGGAAGTGTGAAGAAGTAAAAAAAAAACATTGCTATGTTACTGTTCAAATGCGTGGTACGTTTAAATGTATGGCATATTCTCATGTTCAATAAGGGAAATGGATCTGGGCCTTGCCCTCTTCTCCTCTTACCATCATTCATTCTACCCCTCTACCCGCAGAGGAAAAGAAACGCAGTTAAATATGGCAGAGGACTGAAGTTCTAGGTCTAGAAGTCACTGAAGCGTACATCCTCAGAAGCTAGAAAAGCAGAAAGCATGGGGAGTGGCAGATAGGGAAAAATATTTCTTTATTTTCCTTATATTTCTAATCCACAGATCACTAACATCTTCAAAAAACTTACAGTTAAGCTAAGCTATATTTGTTCTTTGATACATTAAAGAGAAGTCAGGTCCTTGTTGCTCAACAGATGAATAAACACCTATTTCAGCTGACTGCACATATGCACATAAATCGCTTCCCCAGTTTGCACCAATAACCTAAATCAACTCACTAAGTACAAAACCATAAATGAAATGTAGATCTATCAAAGCTACACACTACATGTAAAAGGAAAAAAAAACCATTTAAAACAGCGTAAGGTACCAGAGGCTGTCTGTCAAGGCTGGTTGAGGACTTGAACCTTTGTCACGGCGGGTAAAAGCAATTGCACTGTACTCGAACACCATTGCTGACCTGCATCTGGCGTCTCAATCTGTATCACGGTAGCCTTCAGTGCATCATACTCTCCCCATAGATATATCTGCAAGGTCTTCCCTCACCACCTGTGTTGGTTCTTCAGCATTATGAGCAAGTTGTAGTGCACAGACACAGCTAGCTTTATAACCACGCATCACAGCATTCAAGCTTTCCACTGACATTTCACATGAGTAGTTTGAACAGATATCATTCTCCCCTTTACTACGTTTAAACAAAACTTCTTTGTTCTGGTCCCTCTGCTTCTCTTGAAAAACACAAAGCCCTCTAAAGATTAATGATTTGGACAGCTGGAATCTATTATATACATGTTTAGTTCTGATATAGTCCTCTTAAGAATAAATAGTTTAAGAAAAGATGGATTTTGTTATTTCAGATGTGTTTCCTTGAATCAAAGATCAGGTTACTAACATGTAATTAGCTGCCATTTTGGTTCTAAAAACTTAATGAAACTAGTACTGTATTTCATTTCTTTTTCATCACCAGATTAAGCAAGACCTGCTGCAACATAGGTAACATTTACCAAAAGAAAATCAAATCAGTGCAAGGTTTATAATCTGCAAGACATCGCGTTTCTGTACCTCAGCAGTCAACCTACCCACAGAAAATAAGCCAGTTCTCACTGTAAAGTGTGCCTACAAATTCAAAGACTACTTGGGGCCATGAACTCCTTAACTCTAACCCTAAGTTCAGTAAGGTTCAAAGTATTCCTGACTATACCTCTAATGCCAACTCCTAAACGCTCTTCTGGATGTCAGCGCACACTGAACATTGACATTTTTCCTTCTCTGTTGAAGGAAAGAAAGAAAGAACGGAAAAGTAAAAATCAGCTGAGCTGTTGTTTTTAAAGCTTTCTACTACGAGACAATTTCACATCAGCCTCTATTACATTCTAAACCCCATGGGCTGAATTTTAGGTAAAGGCACAGGAAATGTCTAGGCAGTTTTATAAGACTAAAGCAGCATAAGAAAGATCCTGCAACATTTATCACTGACGTGCTGTTTTGCAAGTAGCAAACAGAGTTGGTTGGATGAAGAATCTCAGACTATACTGCAAAGCAGCATCAGTAAATTATGTCCTACTCAGTCACATTACCTCTCTTCTCTATCTGACTATTCATTACCCTAAACAGAAATGAATCCATCCTACCCATAAGCCAAATAACTTACCTCCACTAATCACCTTTGAACAACAGCACTTCTCTAAAGGTGGCACATTTCATCACTGAAAACCCCGTGGTGGTTTAAATAACACAATTGCAACAATAGCATAGGCACAGACAGAGAGAAATAATTGCAGGAAGGAATGGGAATGAAGACCCGACCAAGAGAAATTGTTGATAACAGCAAGGTAGGTAAGAAAACACAAATCAGGCAAGATTGCTCAGGCCATTAGAAGAAAACAGAAGCAGTACTGAAAGAGATGTAGAACGACAGTGCATAAGAAAAGAGTTCAAGAAATAACTCGTCCCTGGACTTTCACGTGCTTCCAGACTGCAGTGTTTCCTCCCACTTCTCCTTCCTCAGACATTTCCTGGGAAAACAAAAAAACAAGCCCCCAGCCCACATTTACAGCTTTAAGCCTCCCATGTCAGCACGCATCCTTCGCCAGCAACTTCTCCAAAGCCCGTCGGGGCTGCTCGTTAGGCAGCCTGGCCGACCAGGCAGCACTGCGGGGCGGGCGGCTCCCGGCACCACCGGGTCGAGCTGTGGATCGGCAGGATGAAGGAAAGTGGAGGAGAGCGTTGGTCACACGGCGAACCCATACTCACGTATTCCTTCACGTTTTTCGTCTTCACGGCCTTGTAGGAGGAGTAAGCGGGGTAGAGCGTACCGAATATCAGCCTGCAAGAAGAACAAACCCCTCAGCACCTCGCGGCTCCCTGCGTCCCGCACCGCCGTCGCCCCTGCCGGCCTCCACGGCCGGGAGCCCCCGGCGGCTCCCACTCCTCCGCGGCCGCCGCAGGAAAGGCTCGGCCGCCCCCACCGCAGCGGCGCCGCCCTTACAGGAGGCCGCCGCTCCAGGGCCGCGGAAGCCTGCGCAGAGCCGCCAGGACGCACCGCGGTCCCCCCCAGGGACGCGGGGTTCTTCTCCGGGCTGCAATCCGCGGCACCGCCGCAGCTCCGTTCCAGGCGGCGGCCGCGCCCGAAGCGGGGCACCCGGCCCTCGAACGCCCCGCGCATCCCTTCCTCCCAGACTGCGGTACTCACACCACGAGACGGGAGATGATCCAGGAGACCATGGCGGCGCCGGGCAGGGTCGGGCGGCGACACACGGCTCCGCGGCGGCGGGAGGCGGCTCTTAAAGGGCGGGTCCCGCAGCGAGCACCGTGCAGCCCCGCCCCGGCCTCCTACAGGGGCGGAGTCGACGGGCCGCATCGCGCCCCCAACCTCCCCGCCCCGTTCGGGCGGTGCCCGCAGCCGTTCGCTCCAGGCGCGAGAACTGCGCGCTCCCTGGGGGCAGAGCGGCCTCTCCCGGGCGCAGAAAGGGGAGGGCGGCGTGGCTGCAAAGAGATCCTGCCGGAAAGATGGTAGGCGAGTAACATGCACGATGTAAGAAAGGCTGCAGAAGAGGGAGCGATGACTTAAGGTGACAGATGCTTCAGGAGCAGCAAAAGAGACTATGGATAAAGCAGTCTTCCAAAGACAGAAGTTACCTGCTCTACAGAGTGCAACACAACAGCCAAAACGCTGCTAAAATCTAGATGACGTAAATTCAAAAATCTTTCCAAGGCTCCCATTTCCCAGGATGCAAAATTCAACTAGTTAACAGACACGAGTCAGTGTCCTCAAACTAAGGGATGAAGGCTGGTTCCAGGATAACTCCACAGTGCCTGGTTCTCTTGCTCTTGAGAATCACTGTGAGGCCTAGAATTGCCCAGCTATCCAAATAAAGCTGTAGAGGAGGGGAGTAAATATTATCCATCTGCATATTTAGACACAGCAGCATACCAGAAAACACAGTAGCAAAGACCGTTTTAACAACTCAACCAAGAGTGCTGTTCAGAGAATCCTTTCCTTCAAGAGTTAATTAACTGACTGCTTTGCACCCCCTAAGTAAACTAGAGACAAAGACTGATCAGGCTCTGCACACTGATCTTTGAATCATGTTAAGATGATCATTAGATAAGCCGTTTTTTAATTAAAAAAAAGATTTGCTAGAAAGCCTAATGTAGCTTCTTACTACCAAAACATAAATAACAAAAAGAACCCAAACAACAAAAATATATTAAAAAAAGGCAGGAACCATGGCAGAATCTCATTACTTGTGAAAATAGCCCTTCTGAAAAGGGAGTAAACCAAAGACCGACCAAAAACAATGAGTTGCTAGGGAATAATTTTCTCACGGATGCATGAACCTCAGCATAATGAGCAATGATGAAAAACACAAAACATCAGCAAATTTCCATTACATCTAAGACCTGAAAACAAAACTGTTGCTACAGACAGCGACAAAGAGCATTTTGTCACAGTCTGCTCGTGGATACAAATGGCCACAAAATGATTGCATAAGGGACTGCACAATTTACAATACTGGCAGCACAAATTACCTACAGATGGAATAAAAGGAATATGCTTTCACAAGTCCAAGCAACAAAACGTGCACTTCCCTCCTGAGAATGACTGTCTGTTTATTCCCACCAGTTTCCTATCAGCTTACAACAGCTCTGGTACCTGAACTGTGCTCACATCTAAGTGAGCAAAAGATGCTGACAGAACAGGTAAAGTTTGGAGACATCTTGGGTACAACGTATGAAGAGAATGCAGCATGGGTGAGCAGCAAACAAAGAAGTGTGCCGTAGCGTTTTACGTAGTTCAGTGCATCGAGGAACAGTCTGAACATTTGCAGTGATATATTGACATAAACAACAAAATACAAACATCAATATTAATAAAGCAAGCAGACTTACAAACGTCATGAGAGCTCACCATTAAGTGGCAAACTGAGTTTAGAACAAGTTTAGCAGAAGCATTTAAGACAGCAGCATATAGTTAGTAATAACTTTATTTCTTTCCAAAGAATGATAAATTAATCCATTAACTTACCTTCTAACGAGGAGAAGCTGTTAGTACTGAAAGGCTACTTTTGTAACAAAAGCTGGCTGCAAGACAAATGTAGTAAAGAGTACGATTTATTGCTAGTAGTATTTTATTGTTACTTACACAGCATAATGTTGTATAACTGAGACTGGAAGACTTATCTAAGAGCGGAAGAAAAGTTGTTTTCAAATTCAGGCTGTTTTTCTATCAGATATGCTACTGCTGGAGCAACTTGTGACAAACGTATTCTACAAATGCTTAAAATAGCTGATTATTGGCCATTATAGCCTGAACAATCAGGCAAGGAAATAAAACCCCCCCTGAGTAGAGAAACTTCAGCAAAACTACATTTAGACCGATGCCAGGTCAGATGTGGAGATCCTGCCAAATAGAGGTTCACGTAGAAGCTGATGTAATTAAGAGAAATAACAATTACTCAGCATCAAGAACACAACAGTGGCTTTGGATGAAACTTGCAGAATAATTACGGGCCCTAGTAAGAAATTCCTCTAAGATACACTGTCCACGGGTGTTTTCATACTGTGCTCCATTCACACGTGATGTAGCTCCACACACCTTTTCCACCTAAGCAATACTTTTAAGATAGGCTAAAAGGCTGAGCAAGTCACTAATACATGTCGTGTACCTCAAGCACTAATTATTAACTGCAAATGAGGAAAAAAAAAAGAGGGAAGTGCTATACACACAGGAGTAATACATTTTAAAGAATATTTGTGCATGATAAATTCTTTCATCTTACTCTTATTTCAGGTAAATCCAAATTACTGTTTGACACCCAACTTCTCCACTACAGTTCTGATTCCACATCTTCAGGTTCTAGAATAGATTACCTCAGAGCTGAGCATTAGCAAATGGGTCACAGCCATCAACATTTTAGTTACTTTTTTCCATACTTATTTTGCCTCAGAATACAGTTTATAAACAGAGAAAATATTAAGTTTTGCAAAGTTAACCTTTGCAGACTGTTGCATTTTTTAACCAATACCAAATAAGGAAGCTGGTGAGTTAGTGAGAGAGATCTTCAGAAGGGAGATTTTTTTCATCTAGGACCAGAAGAGACGCGTACATCCCACGTAATGTTTTGAAGACTGAAACAGCCCAAGGACAGTGCTGAGCATTGCCCTCGCGCGGGTAAACACACATCAAGCCTTCTGCATTGTGAATGCATTCTAACTTCACGTGGGCAGGTATACAGCCATAAAAGCCTGTATCCCTGCTTCCAGTTGATTCCAGTATCACAGGATTCCAGCTAAAAAAACAAGCAGAATGTAAAGCCAATATTGAAAATACTGCCTGCCCACTGTCTTACGCAGCTCCATCCTGTAACAGAAAGTCAGCATTCAGTAGCATTTATGTCATGACTGCAGCAAACAATTTTAAGACTTGCAAATCAAAGTTTTTATTTCCCCTCTGCTAAAAAAATTCATACCCTTTTATTTGATTATGATTCCATGTTTCACAGATGCTGCTTCTAAAAAAGATCATAAGCAGAAAACCATGAGATAAAACTGCTGTTTGCAGATCTTAAAACAACTTCATGATCACCTCAGTTTGCTAGTTTTGCTCTCTATACGAAGCAGTTACAGGAGATCACAGAATCACCAAATGGCTTCATTTGGAGGGGACCTTAAAAACCATTTCAACTCCCCTGCCATAGGCAGACTTGACAACCACCAGATCAAGCTGCCCAGGATCCCAACCTGGCCTTGAATACGCCTCCAAAGATGGAGCATCCACAACGCCTCTGCACAAACTGTTCCAGCACCTCACCACCCTCTCACTGAAAAATGTATTCCTAATACCTATCACCTAACCCCAATATCTATCCCTCTTTTAGTTAAAAGCTATTCTCCCTTGTCCTATCACTATCAGACAGTAATAAAAGTCGGTTCCCCTCCTGCTTGCAAACTCCCTTCAAGTACTAGAAGGCTACAATGGTATCTCCACGAAGCCTCTTCTCCACACTAAATATGCCCTTCTTCCTCTATCTTTCTCCACAGAAGAGCTCTTTGATGATCTCTGTAAGTCCTCTGCACTCAGTCCAGCAGATCTGCATCCTTTCTGTACTGGGGGCCCGAGGCTTGGGCACAGTATTCCAGATGGGGCCTCACAAGGGCAGAGCAGAGGGGGACTACCCAAAGCCCAACCTCGTACAAAGATAACAAAGAGGCTGGGAGCACTGCACAACAGACGAGGTTTATGACGAAATAGATCCTCTTCCCAAACTACCTCTGAAGAAAAAAAGAATCTGCAGGCAGACTGGCACGCTCCCATCCACACATAAAATACTCAAGCCTTCTAGTCAGATACAAAGCAAGAAGTTGTCAGGCAGTTTACGCTACTCAGAGGCAGAAGCTGAGATAACTTCACAGCAGGAATATCAGTGTCCAAGTCTGAAAGAAACTGTCCAGACTGTTACAGTAAATGACTTTTATTTAAAAAAAATGAAATAACCGTGAACATATTAACAGGCCTGCAGGTGGCACTACAGTACAGCTGGATATAAGGTAGATATATTTCCCCATGTACCCAGACAATGAAATTCATTGCATCAATGCTGACATTAGTAAAATCTGAATACAGTTCTATCAAGCAGGAACATTTTACTTAAAATAGTTCTGGACAAAGTTGATACTCGAAGGACAACTTTTCCTTCACTTTCGAAAGGATAAATGTTTTCAGCTAGCACTGGTACTCGAAAAACTATTGCCTGTAGCTACCAGTGCAGGTAGAGATGTACAACATCTCTATGGGAGAATAGAGCTCCAACTCCTTTTTACTTCTCATTCTGTGGAAGCAGTGGGGAGACGGGAGAAGACAAGTGAGGAATACGGGTAAGGAAGGTGGGCTTGTCAATTTCTATTCACTCTCCTTTGGCTGTTTTTGTGCTATTTTGGACTGCTTTCTAAAAATCACTTCTTGATTTTATTGAAAGGAAGACTAAACATAATACACCTTTCCTTGAAAATCCAAGAACAGTTGTGGTACTTCAAAAATACTAAAAATATCTACTTTCATGAAATATTAACTGTTTAACTACAAACCTAGTTTTTCACTAAATACACAATTCTCCTGTTTCTGGAGTCTCCTGGGGAAAAAAAAGTGGGTTCTCCCTTTAGTTCTGCAACTCTACAGTGTATAGGGAAATGGCTGCAAAAAGGGGAGTGCAGAGAATAGCTTTTTCCTTGGCCTGTATC